TGAAAGCCCAGCAGCCTTCTAGACACTTGGGAAACCTAGGTGGAAGTTGAAGGGGTCCTTAAGAAAACTGGGTCTGAAATCTGCTCTCTGGAACGAGGGAGCCAAAATGAGCAGGAACCAGCATGATTCTTCTTGCTCAGTTCTCTTTTCCTGACGCAGACAGGGGTTCTCATGGAACAGCTATCCATAGAACTAGTTGAGCTTTTGGATTTCATTCTTTCAGTTGAAGTTTCACTTTCAGGTTGTTAAATAATATCAGTAATATCACTGAGAACTGGGGTATCTAATTTACCGCATGTAAAGCCCAGGGCAATGTTCACATATAACTTGCCCTTCCTAAATTTGGTCTGAACAAGACTCCGTTGTTTTCCACATTACCTGTTCTGCTCCTCATTTTAGGAATGGTTTCTTCAATAATGAATACATGTCCACAAAGTGGTTATGTATCCCACAAAGATCCTTCGGAATTTTAGCTCCACTCAGTATTAAATGACTGATGGATTTATTTTTTAAAAATTTTTTATCTATTTAAATTTCAAACTTGCTGAATACTTCCTTAGTACTGATATGAATATTGATGGAAACATAGAAACACTCTGACAGTTTTCTAGACTGTATCAGTGTCAGAGTGATTCCTTGTATTTTGTGAAGGTGCTTAATTTAAAAGAACGCTTCCAAAATTAAAATGCTTAAAAGTATAATTGAGGACTTGGATGTAGCTCAGCAGCATATCACCTGTCTGGCAAGCATGAAGTCCTGATTTTGAGGCCCAGTACCCCCCACAATAGTGTAATTGAAAGGCCTGTGTTGTCTAACCCATTGAAACTTGGAAACATTTTAAATCCATTATAACATGTACAAAAATGGGCATAGGCCAGAAACAGCAAATGGCAGGCAATAACCAGGCCTATTACATGACACAGAGATACTCATTTCTAGCATGACAATTACCTGCTAAGTACTTTTGCAGGCACCTAAATGCCAGCTCATTGTGGATACTTCATTGATTTTATAAGGAGGGAATGTGTGAGTGTGGCTTCCAATTGTTCTCCTTGCAGGACGTTTCATTGGCTTCTGTCCTTCACACATCCCTAAGGCATATTAGGATGCTCTCCTTTTATTTTATTTTTTTTCTAAAGTTTTATTGATAAACAGATAGCAATGAGACAGTTTCAAATCAAATCGGAAGTACAGTTTCAACAAATAATACACTGCATATATTCTTCTTAGTGGTTAATTGCTGTACAAGATGCGGACTTGTGATCCTATTTACAAACACCATTAGAACAAATCATTCTATTCATTAAGACAATGCAACTATATATCTACCCCAACCACTTTGAATACACAGATACAGAATGGACATTCATCGGTGTACCCCATTTTTCCTAAGTTCCGTTATTGAATATTATAGGTGTGTAAACTCAGCAAAATATTCTAAAAGAGTCCAGTAGCCCATAATAGCATTGGGTCTTCTGTTTAACTGGCAATGTCAGAAATTATTGACCTGAGTCCCCCACAGCTTAACTTAGTTGTTAAAATTTACTCAGCATGCAAATGTTATTAGAGGGGGCCAATGCGGAAAGCTGTTTCCTTTCCTTTATGGCATCATCTTAAGTGATAGCAAAATATAGTATTTTATCCATAATAATAATGAACCTTATTTCTTTATTTATTTATTTGCATTATAGGGAAGGGTCTAGGGTGTTCAAGGTCTCACTACTAGATCAGACTCATAGTGATCCACCTGTTTACAGCCTGCCAAGAGCTGGGATTACAGGCGCATGCCACCACACCCAGTCTCAATTGCCTTAGCATGCCCCGGGGGCAGGGCCAGCATATCAGGCCTAGGGATTGAACCCCCAACCCCTGTGCCTGCTTGTAGGCACTTTAATCCACTGAGCTATTTGGCTGGCCCTTAATTAACCTTATTTAGAGGTGGTACAGATTGATGAAATGATACTGTCTCACAATTTTTCCAGAATTTATATCAGTAGGCTGTATAAGAAGGTTTGATATTATAGTAATTATGAGATGTATTCATATGTATGTATTATATGTTATATATTATATATGCATTTTCCTATACATGTCCAAAACACTAACACTAAAGATTATAACATGGGGATATTAAAATAACAAGGTTAAAAAGTAGCAAGCTAGAAGATTTAACATTCAATGTAGTTAAAATTATAGTTATACTGACTAGGTGGTGAAATATCGGGATGACCTATTTATTTATTTTTTCTGGTAAAATATCTGGGTGACTGATTTTTTTTTAGTGATTTGAACAGATACTTTGACATTTAAAAAACCATGTACAGAGATTTCCAGCACCAGTAAAATCTTTAATAAATGTTTGTTTTGACAATGAAAACTCTAGTACACAGTTAAAGTAGTTGCTGCTTACGCATTAAGGGCATGTGAAGTCTGACTCACAGGCTCTTGTCTTTCTAGTGTGTCTGCTTTGCTACGGACAAAGTATTCTTTTTCATGACTACTATAGTAAATACATGGCAGTGAGATGTGTCTCTGTATTTGCAGAATATGGTTCCTAAAGTTAAATAAGATCGCCACAAATAAGTCACTGAGAACACTGCCACAATAGGAGAATATGCTGTGGGGTAGACCGCATAATGTGTATTCAGAAGCTTTTTAGGTAGTTGGAAAGAAAGAACATCTGGAAGTCAGCAAATAAGTTAAAATATACTGCAGAAATAATTTATATAGCATGTACTCCCTTTGGCGCCATAGACGTCAAAAGCTACATGCACAGAAACCTTTCTAATGCTTCAAACTGGATGCTTCCTATAGGGATTAGAAGTAATGCTGCGTATACAGTGTGCTTCAGTAGGGACACTGTGTGGTAGAATCTGGCTTTTCTAATCAAATGTCCTAGTACATCAGTTCATTAAGTCTCCCAGGAGCTCAAAGAAGAGAAGCCTCAATTTTAATTCAGCTTAAAGAAAAATCATCTAAAAAAGTTGGGGTATTTAGTGTTGTCCTGGATTCTGCAAACACACACACCCCATTTGTTAGGCTGTCTTTTTTATTATACTGTGTTCATTGCTTTTATATGTGACCATTAGACATCAGGAGTTCCTTATGACTCTTGGCATTTCTTTTCTTCTCCTTAAGTAATCGTATGCAGTCCTATAGCTGCCATTACCCTTTATAGAAGAACGGCGTATATGTATGGTCTACAGATTATGCTGCTTCCCACATCCTGTGTCCATTTGCTTTCCCCTGGGTAGCTTAAGTGCATCCCTTACATAAAACATCTACAAGGCAGTAATACATGGTCTTTCCTCCTCAACTCAGTCCTACTAAGCTTTCCTAGTTTACAATATGGTGCCACAATCCAATCAATTTAGAATCCCTCGGCTCATCCATCTGTCATATCCAATTTACCATCATCTTTCATCCAGTTATAGTATTCTCATAACTTTAGTCCATGACAGCAGCCTTTGAGGTGATTTCCTTGCATATCCTGTAATGCCCACCAACAAAAATCCTCTTCGCTATTTTCAGCACTGAAATGTAAGACAGTTTTTCTAAATCCACCCTAAGGTGAAAAAAAGAAACTTACCTGAAATGTTTATATACTGTATGATTCCATTATCTGATATTATGCAAAAGGACCTTGGAGCCAGCCAAAGGGTTAGTTTTGCTGGGGGTTAGGGAAAGGGAGGGTCAAATAGGAAGAGCATTGGAGTTTTTTTTACAATATTAAAATTATTATGCATAATACTGTAGTGGTGGACACATGTGTTATGTATTTGGGAGAAACTGTAAAGCATGCAGCAAATGTGAACCCCACATATAACCTGAAGACACGGTTGACAATGATGAGCCTGTGTTAGCTCATTGCTTGCAAGAACTGCGGTGCTCTAGGCCCGTTACGGAAGGAGGCTATGTGTATGGGAGGGCTGCTTCCTGCTTAATGGGCTGTGACTCTAGAACTACACTAAAAGTAAAGTCTGTTTATGAATTCATTCTGATTTTCCATCTCCTCCTCAACTCCTAAAAATGCTTCATTGCTCTTGCAATGTTGCTAAAACAATAATTGGATTAAGTCTCTGGCACACTGAATCTACCTCTGAAACTTTATGGCTACTCATTTCTCTCTCTCTCTCTCTCTCTCTCTCTCTCTCTCTCTCTCTCTCTCTCTCTCTCTCTCTGGATCTTATTTACTCTTTCAGTTTCTTATCTGAGATTTAATGGTATATATGCAATTCTTCTGTCGAGCTTTTCCCCTACCCTCTTCCTTAGGCTTAATCAATTTCTCTTTATTACCTAGATAGGCTCATTGTCATCTGCTAAGGAAGACTTCTGTGATGTCTATATGTATCTAGGAAATTATATGCTTTGCTACACCTTGCCTATAGATAACCTAACGGAGCTCTTACTACTGTTATGGTTAGATATTTATAACAAAATTAAAATTTCAAGGTTAGTAAACAGATAGAACTCTACCTCTAGGTGCTTTGCTCTGAGAGGCCTTGAGGCTGAATGCAAGCCCTATGCGAGTGAGGACTAGGTGACCTAGGGACTGCTGTGCACCTCTAGCCCCTTTGAGTGCTGGAAAATTCTCCCTGGATAGGTAGCCAGTCAAGGAACTGTTCATGAAATTTACTATGTAGCCCTGGGGACAATTGAGAATTCTTCCTGAGAGTAGCCAGGACTTCTGTCAAAGCACAGTAGGACCCCTGGTAGCAAGTGTGTGTGATAACCGTGGCATATGTTCTCTGACTTTATTAATAAACACTTGAGATGAAGCAACAATTACCATTCTTTTCAGGTAATCTAAGTAATTTAATTACTGTCAGCCTTTGTGACTACCTTGGGGATCCTAATCTTTCTAATCAGTAGTAGTTATGTGAATTAATAATAAATTTTCAGACAGGTAGCTCTTTGATATGTACTTTTTTCTACTTTAAAATTAAATACGCACATAAGTATGCATACATATTCTAAACGAATGCCGTTTCTTATTACAGTCTATCCTGTCCCATGGTGCTGTTGATGACTGTGCTGTAGTTGGCAAGGAAGATCCTTTGAAAGGTCACATTCCCTTAGCAATCTGTGTGTTGAAGAAGGGTGAGGCATCTTTGTCCTTCCTGATTGTTTGGACCTGAATAATGAACTTAAGTTAATTCCTTGCTTACCATTTCAACTTTCTCCCTAGGTATCAATGCAACGGAACAACAGGTTTTAGAAGAAATCGTGAAACATGTGAGACAGAATATTGGGCCGGTGGCTGCTTTTCGAAATGCCGTGTTTGTTAAACAATTGCCCAAAACCAGATCTGGCAAAATTCCACGATCGACTTTATCAGCCTTAGTCAATGGCAAGCCATATAAGGTAACTACTCAAGGGTCTTTAAAACTGAGTCCTTAAATGATTTGCACCAGCTATTTGGTATTCATAAAACTCTTAAAATTGTTCTTAAGCATGAATGGTCTCCCTACAAATATATACTTGTACAAATATTTAATATTAAAAGAAAATTTGTAAGCTTCTCTCTTTAGGATGAGGGTTGGAAAAGAAAGGCAGATTAGTTAGAGCCCTATCCTTGATTATGAGAACCAATGTGTGAATATACATTTATTTAGTAATTATGTTAATTGAATTCGAACATACTTACACAAACTCAGTCCTGCCGATTTAAAGGTATGCTTTCCTTTATTGTAGTCATTCATGGTTGTTAGTGAAAGAGAAAGCAAAATATTGGAGGCTTATAATAGATGCTTAAAATGTTCTACTTGATGTATGTATTATTCCTCCTGTTCTGAGTGAAATTCCTTTTTAAGAAACTTGAGATTGAGTCAAACATAGACTGTATACACACTCTCTGCATAGATACACATATTTTATCAATAACATCTAATAAAATGTACTAATGTAACAGAACATGGTGCTTCTGTGAACAAATACAGATCCAAAAAAAGTAGAAAGCCAATTTATAGAAATATTTAGAAAGACTACAGCCAACGGTTTTGTTTATTGAACCATTTATTCATTGCTTCAGTAGACTATAAATAGACTTTAAAAGAAACACGTTGAAAATTCTCCATCTTATATGAGTCTTGCATGATAATGTGGAGTATTCCATTTCATGTAATCTTTTTATCGTAACGCGTGTAGAGAGGCCCTCATCTGATACTGTTTCTTTCCAGGTGACACCCACAATTGAAGACCCCAGCATTTTTGGGCACATAGAAGAAGTCCTGAAAAATTCATTGTGATGTTTGTTTGGATTATGAGTTGGTTTGAGTCAATTCTGTAGCTGGAATTAAGTGTTTGAGTTATTTCCCAGAAACAAAAATTTACATAGGAATTACTTGCCAATTAAATGTGAAATGTGAAGTTTCGATGTAACTAATCTATTAAAAACAAGTGAAAGAACTTGTCTGCTTTGACCCAGTCATATCCTTTCCACTGCCTGTGAAAAGCTCACTCTATATTGCCCACTTCTGTGAGAAAAACATGCCCATTTTATGCTTTTTAAATATTGTTCTCTTGGGTTTTCGGGCTTTTGGCTAAGATCAAGTGTAAAAATTGTTCCCCAGGAAATATCCTCTAATTGGAAGTGCTCTTATAAATATATCCTGTCAAAGTTTAGAATACAATTCAATGTCACAAAATAATTAAAATTGCTCTTGTAGAAATTCTTAATATTTGCTAATATTCTTCAGATGCCTACATTGTTTTAAGTGAAACAGACAAAATGGGAATTTTAGGTAACCATGTAGACAGATGAAGTTATTGTCTGGGGCTGGGGTGGGGGAAGACCCGTGTGGCCATATGCTTCCCGAGGGAGGGTACAAAGCCAGGGTTACAGCTCTGCCTTCTGGGCATTTGTCACTGGGACAAAGGAAATCACCAATCGGGCAGAGAACCTAAAGGTTTTTCAACCAGTCTTTTCATCTTGGGAGACAAAGCTTCCCAACACCCCTCATGATTCAATTGCTTAATGCATTGTTTATTATGATTCTGACTTTGTTATTGAGTCAAGGAAATAACACACAAATGCAGTAGAGTGGCAAGGAAATCTCTTAAGGAAGAAAGGGCAAGCTGCATTTCAGGTCAGTAGGGAATGGTGGAGACCAGAAAGCACTGCTGTACCCCAGGACTGCCCGTCCTGGTCCTGGAAGAATGTGTGATTGGCGACAATTCTTCTGATTGGGGGGTTGGCGACAGGGATCCTGCAGTGAGAGGCTTGCATTGAGAAGCCAAAAATCCATCTTTTTTGTGAGAGCTATAATTTTTACATTAATAATGACACCTGTAAGAATGATGTCAAAATATATCTTCACACTTAAATTTCTACAAAACTAGAAAGCCTATTTCTTAGAAATTTAAAATTTGTATTTAGTAAGCTTATGGGAATGTACTGAAAAACTAGAATAGATATATAAATAGGGAACTAACTGTTTGATTTATTTAGTGCTGTAAATAAATGCATCTGTTATCAAAGAAAGCATTTAAGCACTAAATGTGTACTATACCCTCTGAATCTTTGAAGATTCTCAAAGCATTTCTCAGCCTTTTAGTCATTTGGGAAGATTATTAACAAGAACACATTGTCCTAACAGAATAGTTTGGGTACAGGAAAGCCATGTGATTCATAATAATGAAAATTTACTTGTTTGTCTTGTAGAAATTACAACCTGTATAAAATATTCTGAAAATATTAGCATTTTTTGCACTATAGGGTACAGAATAAATGGTTTCTTAGTAAATTCCTATTTGCTTAAACTCCTTGTTATATCCGAAAAGATATATTTATCTTTAATTATTTTAGTAGTCTGAATTAATCCAGCTAATTAGCTTCCATATCATTTGAAACTTTTGGTTTCCTTGAAATACATATTTTTTATTGGCTACATTCTTTTGTAATTATTGGAACTATAGCACTTGTAAATAAATTGTTTTAATGTCTTAGCATTAAAATGTTCCCCTTATTTCTTCCATAGGAGGCGGTTAGCTGAGCCAACAAGTATGTAAAAGTTGCATCTCTTGTCCTCTTGCAAGTTTTCCCTGGTAATCTCGTCCAAGGGGACATTTCAACAAGCAGGCTTGGGCTATTGCCCAGTTAGGTGGGTCTGGAAATTGCTGGCTGAGCCCAGGGAGGTCACTGTTCCTTGGGTGTCACTGAGGCAACTTATCTCCTTTGCAGTCAGAGGAAGTACTGCTATCCCCATTTGACTAAAATTAGGCCAATAAAGGTCTGCTCAAGCCATCAAACTGCTTATAATTTGGGAACAAATTAAAGAAAATTTTTCTGTTAAATAGTATAAATCACTTTTACTAAAAAGCCTATGAAGTACTTGGAATTAAATGTATTTCTAATACAACAATATAATGTTCTAAAACATGCTGTCAGACTGTTTGCCAGAATAAACTCTGTTTAATTGCTTTTGGTATTTTCAAGGAATTTTTTTTTACTGTAAAACATCAGGAAAATGAAAATTTAAAAAAATACTTTCAAAGATCTGTAGAAAAGTATTTTCCAATTAATATTTTTCTTTAGAGTATATGTTAAATATATGCAAATGAAATGTATCTTGGGGCTGGGGGAGATGGCTCAGTAGAATAATCACTTGCCTGGCAAGCACAAGGGCCTGAATTCAATTCCCGGTTCGGCCAAAAAAAAAAGTATTTAACAGTTTAAGAAGCAGTTTTAGTTGTCTAAAATAATTGAAAGGTCTGATCACTAAAAATGTCACAGCTCATAAGTATGATGGCCAAGAGGGAAAAAACTGAGACTCTAGACTAAGTAAATGAAATAGATTTCAGAGCATGGCAGGGGTTGTCTTATAACTTAGAGCACATTTCATGCCTCTCCAAAGAAGTATCTGGATAGTTTGTATCACTATGCTTTAAGAGTCTGTTACAAATGATTTATAGTGCTTTCTTTATCTCTAAAAAGAAATTTGTGTATTTCTCCTCTCCCCAGACTCATAAGTTAAAGGCATGTTCCCCAGGTACTGGTACTAGATGGTGCTGTGGTCCTGGAGGAGAAGGAGGGGGGAGGGGGAGGGGGAGGAGAGGGGGGAGAGAAGAGGGGGAGGAGGAGGGGGGAGGGAGGAGGAGGAGGGAGGAGGGGGAAGAGGAGGAGGAGCTCTAGTGGAGCTCTCGAAGTCCCAGGGGAAGAAGCCCTCACAGGAAATGGTGGGTAGATGCCCTTGTCTCTTACTGGGTTCCTAGCCAGAGGCCTGCCATTTGCCTCCTAAACATGCCCAACCATCCCCATCCCACACACTCACGAGGAGCACAAAGCAATTGATCCACCTGATATTTGGCTGGAAACTCCCAAACTGCGTGAGTCAAAGCAACCCTTTTTTGTCTATATAAGTTAATTACAATAGATATTTCACTACAGTGATGCAAAACTAACACAGTGGTATGAGAATAAAGACAAATCTACTGTGGCATTTTAATATCGTAGTTTCAGCATTATAATTTATTTCTATGAAGCACAATCCTCACTTTCAGGTGAGTTTAGAACGCTCTTTCCCATTGTTTCGGCTCAAGCAATATTGAAGGAAAATTCAAAATCACTTCCATAAGCTGGTTTAGTGCTCCCTCTTGTGGCAGACTCAGTTTTGAACTGAAATAATAGATTTTGAGAGTCACTGAAAGCGTGGTTTTCATCACAGTTCAGTAGGCAAATGTTATATCACTAGAAACAAAGCTTAAACAGAGAACTGGAAGTATTTTTTTATTGACAGTGGAGAGGGTTTCTGTTATCATTACCTTTTGACTGAATCTGTTAAATAAAAATAGACATCAAAACAAATGTAATGTACGTGCAAACATAGCAAATTAAAATACAAAAAAGAAATCAACTCATGACAGGTTTTGAGCTTAATAAGACCAAGCAGCAGAAAATCAGCAGTTAGATAAGTTGTATTATTAAATAGATTTTACTTTGAAATCTCCCATATAAACAAAGAATAAACAACAGTAACACCACCAAATAAAGCCACAGGGAAGATATTACTCTTCTATACCTTTTATACACTATATATGTCATAATTCTGTCTTTCATTTATTTCCTCTGACAAGTCTGACTTCAGGGAAGACCCACAAGGCCAACTTGGCTAAAAGCTTATCACGTTTGACATGAGTCTGGCTAATGCCCTGTTACATTGATAAAAAGGAAGGATTTCTAGGATTCTGAGTTTCTCAGTGAAAATGAGCCTCAGACTTTGCAGTGGTTGACATTCACTGTCCAGTGCTGGCTGGCGGTTCAAGATATTTGAATGAACATGTGGTACTTAGTAAAGAGGTTTTCTTTTTTCTTGGTCCACAGGTAGCAAGAGAAGATGATGGATTTGTAATATAAATTTCTTTTTCAAATAATTGCTTATGACTCTTGTAAACAGTTTGGCTTTGTTTTATACCGAAAAGGAGATCGAGCCATCACAGTGCTATTTCTTAAGATAGAGGACATCCCTGATTGCCTTTAAAGGTCATTTTTGGCTCCAGATCCAGGTTAAATCATTTATTTTACATGATCAGAGGCAGGTGTTCAGCTTTAAATATAGACAGACTTGAAGAAGGAACAGGTTGAAGCATGAGTCATGCTTCAAGGAGACATTGATTTGACTGATACAATTCAAAAACTGTAAAAATGGTGTAATGGCAAAATACAAACAGTACTTGGAATTGTCAAATGTTTGCACTCAAGACTCCATGAACCATATATTTTATTTTTTAAAAAATCATATTTATATCCATTTACATAAGACTTACACATTTAAAAAGAAATTCACAGCAATACATAAATGCCTAGTATATTACAACATGGAAAACAAGTGGTTCTGTTTCATAAAAGCATCTGTTGTACAGAATTGATGATGTGGATGATGCTTATTATTCAAATGACTTAAGCGTTTTATTACAATTGTAGTAAACTAATCGAGCTTAATATCTGATCCCCCATCACTTTTTCAGCTCTTAATAAACCATTACTTGTCATTATTTCCTTTGAACTCTGTCTTCACAAAGGTTTTCATTGCTTGTCTTCTTGGATGGTAGTGCACTTTAGGTAGAGTAGGCTGAAAAGACGACATCTAAAACATGTAATGAAAAGCGTTAGTTCACTGAAGGGTCCCTGACTGGTAAACCCTGTCTGTCTACTTTGTTCTCCATTTCTGTGAAGCCTACCAACAGATGTTCTAAAAAGCAAGGGAAAGAAAATCACCTAGGACCTAACCAATAGCAGATATAAGTGACATTTGCCCTTCTCTGGTTTTGCGCTACCAGTATAATAGCTCACTTAACTTTGGGTAATGTATGGCAATAATATAAATAAAAGTAGTCATACCAAATGTCAGCATGCCTTCTGAAAATTCTACAGCTTGCTACTTATAAAGTGAGTTGAATTGTCCTATTCAATGGAACAGATTTATATTCTAGTTCATATATTTATGGCATTTAAAAAGATAATTTTGTTTAATTATGACAAAAACACATTGATAACAAATAATGTGGTTCAGAGTCTTTGTCAGGGGTGTGACATCACAGAATCTTTCCAGCCATAATATTCTTAGGAAAAGCTCAAAGTTGCTGACAAAAGAAAGTGTATATAGCATATTCTGGATTATTTTTACTAACACAGTAAGTATTAATTTTTCATCAAATAAGAACTAATTTTCTTAGATTTATTTCTTGTCAAAAAATACAGCTCCCTGTTTAATAGTAAAAGCTAGGAAATATGAACTAGAATGCATGCATTAGAAACAGATTGCAAGTAGTTAAAGAATATTTCTACCCATCAGTCAAGAGCTAAGAAGCAAGCACAGTCAAACATATTAAATAGTCATTTGTAAATTAGTGAGGTATTCAGTTCCTGAGAAAATTATGTGTCGAATCTATTATAAACAGTATTTTGGAAAGCCTCTTATTTAGACAAATTATTATATGCTTTAGATTGTGCCTAATTAGATACCAAATTACATACTGTAATTAAAATTTTAATGGTAGGGTTATACTTTTTGAAATTAAATCTTGTATCTGGATGCTTTTTGTTTTACCCGTTTCAAATAGTGATCCAAATGAGACAACATATCAACTCCTCTGTGAGGATCAAAAGACAACAAAGCATTCTGTGGCAGTCAAAAAATAAACAGCACAAAGTTAGTGTTTCTCTATCTATTCCTGCTGCTTCCTTCTATCCCTGTGTACGTGTTTAGTTCCCAATAATATTTTAAAACTGGTTTTCATAGTATCAGTTCCTTGAAAAATCCCACAAACTTTTGCTAAAGCAGTGTTAGTTTCAAATGATTTTCGAACCTTTGACATTTATGAAGCCAGGAAATCATAGTAAGACTTTTCATTAAAATGTCATTTTGTATGGATTGAGAAGTAGTGTCCATCAACTAGTATTTTTCTACGTACAATACCTTTCATCTATGGTCATGTATTGTGCTGCTCCTGTCCTTCATTATTTTAAAGTAATTTTAGTTTTTTAGTCCTCAAATCCTGAAATTCATACTTTTTTTAGCAAATATGTCCCACTGATAAGCAATAACAAGGTATTGAAAGATCAACAATGTCGCAGTTTCTGCTTCTGCTGTTAAAAGGAATCCACTTCTAAATCAGTCTACTGTCTGCCGTTATTTGATGATGAACTTTCTGAAATCCATACATGCCTACTTGGGATTCCATACATAAGATATTCACTTAAAATTCTATGATTCTCTTAGTGTCAGATTCTTGTTAATAAAATGCTATGGCGGGGCCAGTATGAAATGCTATTAAAAAGTAGAAAGCAATATGGTAACAACCCATTGATGTGTAATAACTGAACGACAGGCCTCAAACAGAGGACCTTCAACCACAGTAGACAGGTGATGATAGGGAATAGCAAACTGACGTAAAATATACAGGTCACTTCCCCCCTCTAGCAGTTCAAAGGGGTGATCTCACCTCTGTACTGCTAGGCCATACCAAAGGGCATAGTGTATATTTACTAGTCTATGGAAGTCCATTTTTGGTTGTTGTTGGCTTGTTGTTTGTCAGCCAAAGGGAAACTACTCACAGCAGGTCAGTGCTGCCTCCTTTGAGTGGCTTGTCAACATGAGTATGTACGAACAGTGGAGTTGTCTAACCTCTGCAGTCTTGAGGAGGTAACTGCAAATGGAGAAAAGGGCTTTGAAGTTCTTCGATGACTGCGTACAAGATTTCAGATGAGAAAGATTTATTTTCTCTGCATAAAGGGATGCAGAACATACTAGTAGAACTTCTTTCTCTCAGATATAAGCCCTCATAGATTCCACTTCTCTAGACCCCGTTCCTAAGGCAAATTTATCCCAGTGTATTTCAGCTGCGGTTTAAGGGTATGTATCTCCCCTTAGATGGATATCTGTAATGAGAGCTCCCCCAAGGCGCTGCTGCTTTCCTTGGCAAGATTGCTCTTACAGAACTCAGTACAGTGAACTGTTTTTCCTCTGAGTATTGAAGAACCTCTATACTAATTTTAATCCTGTTAAATTCCTCAAGAATTTTGCTAAGAAGTTCCACAGTATAAGAGATGTAGATCAAAAATAATAGTTTGTGTTGAAATTAATTTTGAGAATCATAATAGCTGTAACCCTGAAAACAGATAACGATTCTCAGTGTTTATTTTGATAGAAGGGAGTATATAATTCTTCTCAAACAGAAATAATTTTATGCCTACTACTTCAAAACCGTCTCTCCAGAATTACTGTTTTCCTTTGTGAAGTATTTAACAGAAGTCTAATGTCCACAGAAGGAAATATTAATTGAGCAATTGTGGTTGTTTTGGTGTTGATTTACTTTTCTTCTTATGATTATGATTGTTTGCTTAAGGCCTTCTGTTCTGATCAGACATAAAACTGTCTGGCGAATTTGAATTTACATGATTATATATAAAATTTCCAGTATTTAGCTATATGAAGGGCTGATGGAGTTAATCTCCACATTCTATGAAACTTGAATAGAAATCCAAACTCTTCCTTAAATTATTTCATTTGTAAACGAAGAAACAATCAAACATAAAACAGACATCAGTCATTCAGGATCTCTTGTTCTTCCTAGATGTGGACATTAGTCAGAATTTCTCTCTTTAGGATATCATATATTATTTTAAACATGATAATACAATGCCACAAGTCATGCATCAGCAATTTAAAAGAGGTTTGTTTTTGATGAAAGCAAAGTAAAAATCCAAGCAAAGCAAACCATCTCAAGAAAGGGTAAATTCCAGAGAGCTATGCAAAGTCAGAGAATTAATTGACTTTTGCTAAACAAGCATTCTATTCTAAAAGAAAAATATAAAACTACTGTACCATCTGTTGTCATTTTCCTGGACTGCCCAGATGTGGTGGTTAACCTAAATCCAGCTGGCAATGTTTCCGAGGACCCAGGCATCATGCTGATTCCATGGACTTCTCGGGGAGGGAATTGCCTTCTCCAGGTTGATCCACGTCTGAAATTCTTGTCATCATTCTGGCAATACAGAGTTATAGTTTGATGTCATAGAAACTAATACACTAGTCCAGGTGCATAAAGCGATGTGCTTTGGAACATGTAACAGATTATTTGCATTCAGTGTACCAAGCATAGACATGGAATACTATGCTTCATCTCAAGGGTTCTGTTGATTCCAAGATAAAGAGGAAAATTGAGATGGAAATTTTGTTTGTTTTTTTAAGACAGGTCTCAGTGTGTAGTTCTGACTGGCCTTGAGCTCACTGTGCAGCGAGGGCTGGCCTTGAGCTCAAGGCAAATCCTGCTGCCTCAGCCGTCTGAGTGCTGGGATTTCAGGTGTGTACTGCCACACCTGGCTGTGAAACAGAAATGTTTTATAGAACTTTTCAAACATCATTTTCTATCTAAAGTTTGGAATAAAAAAACTAAAATAAAATACCAAACTTTTTTTGCAAAAGGAATATTGGTTTTACTTTTTTTACATTTAATACCAAGTGGTTGCATGGCATAAGATGTTACCTTTATTGAGTTAGTTGTTGGGCAGACTACATTTGACTCACACCTTTGAGAAATATCACTCTTATAGATGCAAGAGATAAAAGATGTAGGAAGTCTATATTTGAGCAAACCTGACTAATGCAAGCTACTATAGACTATGATCTGTGTAAGAAATTCTACAGTCATGATACGTTAGATTTGAAGTGATATACAATTCACTTGTAATTTGTTGAGAACCATTTGCAGACTGTGTCATTATGGTGCTATGAAAGCCATGATGTCACTCTAGATAGTCACATAATACCAGTTGCTGGTTCTGTTACAGTTTAATGAAATAATCCCTTCCCTTTCTGTATACAAAGAGTACCTATACTGTACAATTATCTTCCTCTGAATTGATAAGGTTAATATATAATTTAGCATTTATCCAGCATTATTCTTTTTGTCTAATTCAAAGGAAACTATTAAAGTTTTCACAGAGATCTTGTCTTCTAAGGTCACCATGTTTCTTATTTAGGGAAAGATTATTCTCTAAAGTTTACAGACAAACATGTTTTGTTTACTTTGCTAACTCATTTGATTTCATTTTAGAATACAGATCAAGAAGTAAATAATTGGCTCAGATTAGTGTTTTTATATATCAATAACACTATAATGTATTCTTCATATATTACCAATTTGATTAAATGATAATTGAAAGTCTGCCAGAGAAAAATCATTTATGTATTATTAAATATATACACTATTAACGTTCTTTAGGCAGGATCTGAATCTGGTTTAGCCTTGGTAGCCATTTATAGATAAAATACATCACTTTTTGCTCCTCTCCACTTCTGTGCTTTGCACTACTCTAGCGTTACAAAATATTTGTAAATAAGAAAAGAAACAGATTTTCACAGCTGTGACTTCTATGACTTCTTGATTATTGGAGAACTTATTGGACTGAACATAAGTATTTCTCTGTTTTACAAATCCCCACAATTATACTGCAGAGATACATAACTTTATAGTGTATAACCTCAGAGCTCAAAAATAAATAAGCTGAGAGTCTGAATGATGCTCCGTCCATCTCCCAAGGCAGCACACAGTGTTGTCACTGCACAAACGGTGTCGTGGGGGACAGCATCATGGGGGAAAGTTCTCAGGGGGTAAGGTTAAGAGATAATCTTTTAATTGAGGCCCACAGAAGCAAATCTGTGTCAGTAAAATTTAATGTGATCTGCAAACCTACAGGGAAAACATCCACAGGGTGTTAGGCATGTTAATTGGCTATATTTTTTTCACACTCAAAAAAAACTAGACAAGGGTTTAAATGATAAAATCATGTCATATTTCAAAAACAAACAAAGAATTAGACTACTTAAAAGCACATTCCCCTGTTCTCCAAGAGTCCTTTGGAATATTAAGTTAGGACTTACTTCATCCAGCCGGCGTTCAGTTCCCAGGGCCAAGAGGTTGTTGTATTCCCTTTCCAGAATCTGCCGTGCCTGTTGATACCAAATTACTGTTATGCTCAGTAAAATCACATTTTGTTTCAAAACACTTAAATTATATTGCTCTGAAAACCCATTCCAAACTATATTTTTAACTTGTCATTATACATTTGAGCTCCAAGTACTATGTAGGACAGTTTCTTTTGTATGGTACAGGACTTTCCATAATGTCAGAGTCCAATGGGCTTCACCTCTGCTTTCTTACTTTATTCTACTTGACTTTCTATGTAAACTTTGAAATACTCAAAATACAAGATGAAGAGTGAGGGTGGCCTATGGATTTTACCAAATGTTTGCAGGTCTTTCTCAAATCTGTCCAATCATCATCATTCAAAGAAACTTTAGATACCAAGATTCCTGTGCCCTATCTCTGAATAGGTTCCTCTTCATTACAGTGTTAGTTGAAGGTTTTATTTTTAATGTGTATGCAACTTAACTGATTCACATAATGGAAGAATCCAGAATTGCTGATTTACCCAATGCCAGGGGCATGAATAGTTCACACCTGTAACTGGAAAGGACAGCCTCTCCAGGAAGCCGTGGAAGGCCATCTGCCAGGGACAATGGCGGAATCTGCATCCAGTTGGGAGATTGGGCCATATAGCACTAACCTCCAAAGCCTTTCCTGTTTGATTTTATGATTTTGTTTTGGCAGGAAATTAAGGACTCTAGCTTGAAATGAAAACACCAGTAAAACATTGCAAAGACTGAGCTAATGTTTTTAAAAATTTTATTAATACATGTCTAGCACATAATGTTTACATTCCTTGTGCTGAGTTGGTACATATACATAACACATTTTAATTCCCTTTTTAATCTCTCTTCTCACCTCTCCCTCCTATTCCTTCTGTCTTCTTATCCCCTTACCATTTGAGAAATGGTTCTTGCCCTGCTTCCTGTTATCTATCTTTTACTTTCTGTTTATTTATAATTTGCAGTTCTTTTTTTTTTTTTTTTTCAGAACTGGGGATTGAACTCAGGCCCTTGCACTTGCCAGAGAAGCGCTTATTCTACTGCACCATGTCCCCAGTCCCTGCAGTTCTTATATAAGAAACTGTGGTATTCAACCATGTGTATCTGGTTTGTTTCACTCAATATTGTGATCTCGGCGTGGGTCCGTTTTCCTACAAATGACTCAGATTTATCTTTCCTGGTGGCAGCACAATGCCCCACTATGTGTATAAATATCATGTTGTCTTCATCCATTCAGCTGTTAGACAGAGCTCTCTCCCAACATTTACTATGTGGGTTTTGGTGGAATTAAGAGGGGTACACGTGCAGCCCAATACTACTTCATCTTTAACTCTTTTGGGAAGATGCATGGAAAGGAAATAGCTATGTCAAGTAGAATTTCTAGTTTTCATATTCTGAGAAATCTTTATAATTGTTTCCTGAGTTGTACAGATTTTGCTAAGAATTTTAAATGTAATGCATGAGATATGGCAGGCACAGATGTTAAGACAGGTATCACCTGTTTTCACACATATGTGACTCTACACCACTGGATCTCACAGAAGTTCAGTATCAAATGGTGGTTATAGATACCAGAGAGAATATGGAGAGGGCAAGACAGACAAAAGCTTCTCAGTCAGGTAGATCTGTCAATACTGTTACAGTTAATAACAGCAAGAATTTCTGCTGTGCTGCTGTACAGTAGGGTGACTGAAGGCAGTAGTAATCTACTGTGCATTTTCAAAGCTAGAACATTCAGAAGGTTTCACTACAGAGAATATTATACTTGAGGAAATACATAAGTTTAACCTGATTTAAATGTTACAAAATGTACACATATATTAAAACATAATTGTGTGTACAATTTATATATTTTACTTATCAGTGAAAGTAAATTTAATTTTTAAAGCCAGTAACACACAGACATGTTTTTTCTAAGAGTTTGCCTTTCTATTAACCAAGAGCCGTTGAGACCACTGCATGAAGGGGCTTGCCTGGGTATTCTGTGTTGGAATCTGTAGTAACAAAGCTAAGCTGCTGTAGTCGAAGTTCTCATCCAGGGCTATCAGTGAGCCATGCACACCACTTTCAAGAATATTATTTGCATATTCTCTAAGTCCAATTGCTTGTATCCAGCGAATAACTCGATCATTGCTCCACACCAACACATCTAGGAAAAGAGAAGCAACATTTGAGACCCTAGTGCTTTGCAAAGTAATAAGACCCTTGGCTGAAATAAGCCACAGATGCCTAACTAAATCACAGTTATGTCGATTTATCCACTTCCTTGTGCACCTTGCTCTCTGCTGTATGTATGCACTATTCTAATAACTATTCCTATTCTAAGTCTACACAAAGTTGTCATCTTATAATGCTTTTTATGCTGATGGTAGTGCTATGATCATAGAAGTCAATGTCCAGTCTAAAGCCTAAAGGAGGGGCAGAGAAACAGCTCAGTAGAATAAGCACTTGCCTGGCAAGTGCTAGGGCCTGAGTTCAATCCCCGGTTCCACAATAAATAAATAAATAAATAAATAAATAAATAAATAAATCCTAAAGGTCCCACCTGAAGTTCAATACTACTATCAGATGGAGACGTTTCTCATTTGTGTTAAGACAGTAAATAAGGCCAGATAATTTCAATATTGTACCAGAAATGTTCACTAGCCACTACTTAAATATTGTACAGTGACCAGTAGATACGTATAGAAGAGAATGAAACAGTAAATTAAAACAGAGACTGAATAGATGGATACCTCATCTAGCATTGTCAATCATTTCCTAATGACATAGAAATGCAAATTCAAGCACTCAATTCAACCACAAGTTGATATTGCACTGAGCTAGAAGACATATTTTATTTTCTAAAAGTAAAACCTCCATATTTCTCTGAAGTAGGCATTTTATAGCCAAAAAATGAGCAAAATATAGTCTATGATTTCTTTTCCTCCGTGTATTCCTGTTATAAATTTGCAGAACATGGCGTAAAGATTAGAAGGAACAGAACAATTCATAGGAAAACGATTTTAAGGAACAAAGGAGTAAATAAAATTAAAATATTTTTTCTATTTGTACAAAAGAAACTTAACTGTATAAAAATGATCAATTAAAATGAAGTCATTAGAGTCGTCCCTAATTCAATACAGCGGATGTCTTTCTTTAAAGAGAGGATTTGGAAACTGGGCGTCATGTCAAATGTCTGTACTTTCCTGACTACTTCAGAGGCCGAGGAAGGAGGATCGCTTGAGCCTGGGGACTGGACAGCAGTCGGGGAACACAGTGAAACCTCACCTCAAAAAGGGGAGGGAGGACTTTGAAAATAGGCATGCACACATGGAAAACACCACAGGAAGAAGAAGGCAAATGACACTCCTGTAATCCAGAGAGCATGAAGAATTACCCACAGCCAACCAGCAGTCACTAGACAAGCAGGAATCACCACCGTTCATAATCTTCAGGAAGAACGAACAGGAACTTTAATCTTCTACGTAGTGAGATACTAAATTCTGAAATCATTCAGTTTGTTGGACTTCATTGCCCAGCCCAATAAACCTAATATGTGTGATATCTTATTGCAGTTTAAACTAACGGACATTATGTTTATAGAAATTTACAAATCAGCCCATTTTGGATCCTTGTATTTTAAATCTCCATCTTAGAAGCACACAAATATGCTGTATCTTCCCCTTTATAATGCAACACCCAACTTATATCTAGTATATTCTTGGCTTTAAGATTTCTATTCTGATATTGAAAGAATCACAGAAACTTCGAATAGCATTTGCAAATGCAATGCTCTGCAAATATAGCCTTTGTATTATGTTCATATATTCAAGGTATGTTCATGGTGTGTAGCATGTCAATGTTTTCATTTTTCCTTGGTCCTTTAATTAGATTTAATGTTCTATTCCCATTTAATATTATGACTCAGATATTTGAAATTCAACCTATCGTTTTTCTATTTATCTTTTATATATTTGCCTACTTTGTGGCTTGTTTTTATTATGCATATTTAAATTTCTTATTTTACCATTTATTATATTAGCTTTTGATTTGTACACTTCGTACTGTTACAAACATTTCACTTTTAGAGACCAAGTTAAGTGCCAGTGACCAGATCATGAGTTGAACCAGTCACCGAATGAGGAGTTCTATACTGTATGTACATCACAATATTCATACCAGAGAAACGGCCGAAGGAATGTCCAGCTGAATGAATTTTGTGTTATTTGCATAACTCTTACATGCAGTACTGTAAAGTACAACACAATATAAAACTGTAGTACTCTACTCTGCTGTGCAACCAGCAAAACTTACAGTGCTGTATAAAATGATGCACTGTAGAAAAGGAGGGTGAAGTTCTATAAACAAGATGTACACAGTGGGACAAGAAAAGCAGGGCTCTAAATCCAAGTGATGAGTGTTATGTCTC